ACATGTACCTGAGCAGTATCTCAGTTGATAGAAGTTAGGCTAAAGTACTGATTACTGACATAAAAGAATCATATTACTCAAATTCTACAAAGTGCAATTCACATAAACAACCTCTTCTACCTTAAATAATTTTCATTTCACTTTGTCTCCTAACTGTACAATGTACATTGTACATTGTAATTAGGAGTACTGGTAATTAGAAGTGGTAATAAAGCAGGATTTTTTTACTTTCTAAGATTTAAATCTAGTTTAACATTTATTAAACAGTTGCATAAATATTATGTTATTACATGATATTAAATGATATCATTATCTTGAATAGTGTCTGTTTGTTGTGAGAGTTTTCTACACAGTACAGCTTTTTGATTGGAACAAAGAAAAAAATGAAGCACCTGAGATGTTTTCTTCATGTATTACATGCATACAAAAACTGTTACAGTACCTTCTTTTCTCCTGCATCAAAAGCTGTTTCTGTTTTTCAAATAACCCCATTTTACACTGTGCAAATTCAGCCTGTTTGGAGAAGGAAAAATTTCACATGGCCATGAACATGAATGAAGTACATTCTCACTTACGCCCATAGGGTATACACTGGGATAAGAAAATATTATAATTATTGTCACAAAGTCACTTTTACTCAATCCTCATTTGGTCAATTTGTAAATTTGATTTGGTCATGAATAAATCTTCACTTCAACATTTGAAGTCTTAAAATCAGTACAGACATGTAGGTCACATACCAAAACATTTCTCTTGAGATCCAAACACCAGTTATCCAATAATGCCTCCATTCTGGCCAGGTCAGCATCTATTACAGGTGAGGATGGCACTGGGGAGTCTGGTGACTCATCAGCAGTGTGAGATAATGATGATTCATGTTCAGCTTCTGCTATGACTGGTGAAACAGCATCTGTTTCTGAAAAACATTTATCAGTATATAAATGAGTCAATTGTTAAAATTACATGTAGATAATGTTTAGGAATATTTTTCAGTTAGCAACACATTTGTCACCAGGTTAGATAAATATTTTCTTTAATATAACTAATTTTCATCCAGTCCAAAATCAAAACAATCTAATTCCTAAGCATGGTTAACAGCTTCTAAGAACGATATGTATAACATATGTTCAAGTCTTCAAGGATGCTCTTCACCACTAATACAGAAGTTATAGAAGGAAAAATTAAAAAAGGATGGAATGGTTGAGGGCTATGCTTAAAGGGTAAGTATGCCTCCCTCTACAGTGTAATTAAAATGCAGTTAACAATTGCTTTTCAGAAAGGCCTTTCTGGCATGTACTTCTTAAGGCACAAGAGAGAAATTTGCAAGTAATGAAGTTAGCCGAGTTTCATTTTCATCGCTTCCAAAATATCAATTGCTTAGTGCAGTATCTCTTCACAGCTGAAAACAGAAATATATCGAGGTTTATGCGCGCTCATCCTTTGCAACTTTGTTTTCACTTCATGCTTGCAAAGCTAGGAAACTAACGTAAACGTAGGAGTTGAAAAATTGAGCTCTGAACCTGCACACATTTTTCGCCGCACAAACGAATTTAATTCAATTTCCTCTTTTAGCTTTTATCATTTTATGAGAAGATAATTCATGATAACACATGCTCTGAGTTAAGGGTAGAGTTAGTGCATACGTACCCCTGTAGCTTACCACAAAGTTCTTAATAAGTTAACGTTTGTAACTGAATATAGATGTCTAGAAATTACCTGATCGAAGCAGAGAATCTCGAGCTATTGATCCCTGTCCTTGAAACGACACTTTGAGAGAGGGGGTTCCCGAAAGTTTCTTCACTTCTTCTTTATCGACTAAATGCGATTCCTCTGTTGTTGGTTGGGAACTTTGAGTCGACACCGACGTAGTTTTCGAAGTCGTAGAGCTGCTGTCGTTTGTTTCAATGAAGGCAGCGCTACTATCATCTTTCGAAGGAATACATGGCTCGTACACACTTGGAACAACTTGAATTTTCGGTGTAACAACAGCGTACTTAAGAAGCTCTTCGTATTCTCTTTGCAAAGAAGAGGAAACAGAGCTTCCAGGGGAATCCATGTCTGAGAAATGTGGGACAGAGTCAGACTCACTATGGGTCGCCATTTTGTTTGTTTCAAGTTTAAATTCAAAGATTACTTGCGTTTCGATTCTTACTTCTGATTGGTCTCTTACTATCACTTTGCTGTACACTTATTGGTCAAAATCGCTAAGCTGTATTACCAGCTGATTGGTTATTTTACTCTAACCCAGGATCTCGGGGTGAAACTATTTTCAGTGATGGCGGACGGTGGTTAGGGTTTTGTCGCCATCCTATGAGTTAGTTGAGCGCTCCAAGTCATAGATATATCTCATTCAATAGATTATAACTCATTGAAATACTTTCCTCACGCTTTAACTATGAACCAGAAATAAGAGTGATTATGAGTCAAGGAGCTTTTGGATTTCGTCGACAATCTGAAATGGCAAAGATGGCGGGGAACTTGCTCATTTGCGGAAGATATTTGGAAGTTAATTGACAGAATCGTGAACTTTCGACCGCGTCATTTCTCCAGACGATCACGTGATAGCCAGTCAATGGAACAAAATAAACTTGACAGTAGCTTAAGAGAAGCCACTATCAATGGCGGCACACATCTCGTAATGTCGCGGGAACAAAGTTTCAGAGGTAGGAGAGCGGGAAGTCATTGATTTCGCAATTCAGCTGCTTACCCAAAGGAGAAGAGCTGAGTCTTTTACATTTCTTTCGGAACATCTCAATATTTATCTTCGTTTTCGCCCTCAAAATTCGAGTCACAGTAACAAGAGTAATGTGCTTATTTTATTTTCGTTTTCGTGCATGCAACGTCGTTCTGTAAATTATTGCGTATGCATCAGACATGTTCACCACTTAACGTAGCTTCGACGAACTCCGTTCGAGTCTTGATGGTTCTAACCTTCATGGAAAATTAATTATTTTCAAGAAGTTTGCAGCGTTGAGACGTCAAGCCATCAAAAAGAACGTTTTTGTAGAAAGGGTTTAATAAGCAGCGAACATTTTTGAAAATACAAAACGAAACCAGAATTGGACTGACAGTCGTTTTGCGTAATTAAGTAACCAAAGAAGACAGAATCTCTGACTTCCTCAATGCTAAAATTCGTATTTTGGACAAAATAGTGGTTTGTTTTGATTTGCCACCAATCGGCAATTGGCCTGATTCGAGTTATCATGGATAAAACTGATAAAAAAATAAAATAACGAAAATTGTTGAGTTTTGAAAAACTTCTCAAGAAATGGGGGTGTGACTTTGATTTGCAGTTACAGATCGAGTTAAATCGAGTTTGAGTGTACAATTTTGGCATGTATACATACAATTATATAATTATATTTCGATTGTTCAAAACTAAAACCGACAATGTTAGTAATGCTAGAAATTCATAAAAATAAATATAAAAAATTCCACGTGAAATGTAAATGCTCGCTGAGAGAAAAATACATTTGTGTTTGTGAAGGTTGATTTTGTTTTAAATAATTTTCAAACCAGAACGAATTGCTTTCATCAATGAAATAGTGACATGTAAAACACAGATTGGTCAGGTATCATAACTGCAGTGATGACAAATTAAAAATCACAGCTGAAAACAGATTTAACTCCTCAAAGACTTATAAATCGGTCAGAAAACATACTATGTGTCAACTGAAAAATTTAATGAAGTTTACCTAGTATATACAATGAAATGTCTCCCCATAATAGCAATTGGTAAACACTGACAGTCAGCTGGCTAATGTATAGTGCATCTGTAAACTAAGGAACTGGCAAAGCAATTTGGATGTGACTGTTGAATTTGTCTTGAATGATGTGTGGTTGTTGTAAGCCAATGACTTCATGCATGTACAGTATACATTTAAATGAAGAGTTAAGTTTTTAAGCATCCAAATAATGTTCTTTCAAATAGCAATCTTTTCATATGAGATTAAGATTTTAGGTGAGATCTGTTTAACATCTGTGTCATAATAGTGAATATTTTGAAATCAATTTCTTTGTTGTTGTATTCTCCCAGGGTCTCGACCTCTTGTTACTTTTGGCCCCAAAGATTGGGCCTCACAGATAGTTAGAGGCAAATTGGAAATTTTGGAGGCATGTCGGCATCATATCCCAAATCTTGGATGCCTTTTGCTTGAAGGCTCTCTGTGTTCTGCATCCTCTAATGGATTACAGTTTTTTCCTGGTCCATTTGTCAAAATCCAATTAGTGGTGGCATTAAGGAATGACAAGCAAGAGCTGTTTGATTGCTGACTGGTGACTGCTGGAAATCAACAATGCAAAGTTGTAAGTACTCACACCATCTATTATAATCAATATGACAGAGTTAGTAAAAGAAGGCCTACAAAAAAACTTGTCAAGCTAGATTAATTTTACCTATAGGTCTATAACTTGCTTTCCTCTCCCTGTGATAAGTTGTGTTTCCATCCAGTCTTTTAGACAAGGTGGGAGATTTGATATAATTTCTAATTCCATGTTACAATTTATAGGTCTCTCTTTCTGCAGACATTTCTCTTAAAGATTACTTGGTTCTTGTAATGGTCAGCTACAGTGTACATCCTTAACCCTTTCTTGATAGCATTGATATACCTCATTAGTTGATGACACGGGAAACAGTTTTTATATTATGTAACTTTTTAAGTGCCAATATCTCTTTATTAATTCTCTTAACTGTCTGTTGTATAATTTCCACGATGTTAGTTTGGAGAATGTGGTACTGGACCAACTGATAAACTCCTAATCAATATTCCTTTATTCCCATCACTTGTCTGCCTAATATTGGTAGGAAAAATTCTGTCTTGGTCACTCATGAGAGTAGAAGGGTTATTATGCATGCAACAGTCACAGTCACATTGAGGTATTGATATGAGCAGCCTCTATATGAAAATATATTTATTGTATATTACTCTCATCACCACTGGCTGATTAATCAACACACTAATTGCTAGCCCAGTATGTTTTCCTGGACTCCAATTGTTTTGGCAAAATCCTTATTCATTTCCAAACAGAATTTGCATCAATGAGGTCATCAGTGGCTCTTTGAATATAATCTTCAGCTCTTAAACTTCATTTAATCTGTGTTCTGATTGCAGAATGGAGGACGAAGTGTGATTAAAGCAGAAGTGAAACCAGCTGGTTCCATGTATCTCGCAGAAACATTGGCCATTAACTGCAGTGGAGTTGAGCTGGGTTCCTTTGCTAGGAATTTTGTATTTCTCCTTCCAGCTAGCATTCCTACTGAGTACCTCATTTCACTTGAATTCGGAGCAGTAACTGGGGAATTGCTAGATGACATACAACTCCAAGTATTGACCCATTATCAACAGACGAGTTTGTTTGACTTTTGTGATGGCCATTCCTTGTCATCAGTGGAATTACCATGCCCTAAAAAGGAACTTGTTGGTAAGTTCCTGTTGTCCTGTGTGTGCCAAAATAAACTTGGTTTACAAGCATACATAATCTGTGTATGCTTGCTTGGCTTGTTGTTCACTTAAGGGTGCTAGTGTATGATAATATTCAGACAAAGCACATGTCCAGGGAGGTTACTTGATGGAATGTCAATGGATAACATGGTTTCATAAAACTGGTCTTGCTTGAAGTTTACTGAATCTATGACATATCAGTCTTCAGTACCAATAGGTCTCATTTACATGTAGAACACTTGGCTACTCTTGGCTATTAAATGAGCTTCTTCATTCCTTCCTTGATTAATTCTGATTGCCTGTCTTCAGGTAAGGATAATTATTGTGAAGGCTATAAGTTGATCATTGTTGGAGTTAACACGTCAAATTATTGAAGATTTAATATTGGTTGATTATGAGCCAGCTTAAAACTTACATGACTTTACAAAACATACTTGTACATGTATGACTATTATCAAATTTTTGAATAAAGTTCATAGGTAATCCAATGCATGTAAGAATACAGAATTCTTTATGATTGTAAGAAAGCTTGAAATAACTTTGACTAGTGCACCTCAATGGATATCAATTTTGCTTGATTTGACAACTGAACCTAGCTAATGTATAGTCACTGTGTGCAGTCTTGTACATGTATACTGCAATACTCAGTGTAGATTGTATATATTTTTACATACATCAGGTATTTTGGGAACTCCAGAAGCTCAGAAGATTGTGTCATATTTTCAGGAATTAGTGGAAAATGGTAAATTTAAGGATAAGGAAAACTATAACTGTACATTATATGTATTTATTAATTAACCATAATAATTATTGATTATTATTATTATTATTACCAACATTGGATGCTGTAAAATTTATGACCATTATAAAACTCCTTGCATTCTTGTTAACTGATTGTGACAACTGAGGGTTTTTTAGGGGTTCTGAGAGGCCAGCAACACATACAAAGCAAAAATTGACCCAAGAACCTCCCTCCCTGTTACTGCTAAGCTTTACATTTAAAAAATTTCTATTATTATTGCATACATCTTTTGGCTAATACATTGTAAGTAGCTCACAATTTAATTGAATTTGTTCCTGTACACAAGTTACTAAGTATCAGTGGAAATATTGGAATCACAGTGCTTTACTTTGAATTGTGGTGAACCAAACATGTCATGAAACAAACTGCTATCATTTTGTGTCAGGTGCAGGGAGATGCTTCAGACGAGATCAACTCCGTCTCTTCCAGACCATAGAGGAGCTCAGTCATTCAGAGGCTTTACTACAGGATCTGCATCTTGCTGTAAAGCTGGAGGTACAGTGTAGTCAATGTTACATTATTACAGTATACTGTTAGTTATATGGTTTCAATATTATGGAATGTATGTAGAAGTATCGAGGCTTCACTTGGCCTTTGTTTGGCACATTGCAGTGCTGGTGTAAATACCTCTTACTAACCAAGTTCAAGGTTTGTGCTGTTAGGAGCGGAGCAAGATTCTGAGCCGAAAACAAAGGTCCATAACTTATAGTACAGACCGAGAAAACAAAGTGTCTTACTTATTTCTTGTACATCTGTGTCCAAACAGAGACGGAAGAGTTGAATTAAAACAAACTTTTGAATTTAGGTGGTGTTACAGTGTAATACGCCCTGCTAAATTGACCAGTGCATGTACCAACTGAGCAATATACATGTACCACATAATTATATTTTTACAAATGGAATAAAATCCCAAATGTATTCATGTAGCACAGACTCTAATTTTGATTGTGCTTGAAAGCTTTCTTAATGTTTAATCTGCACTGGTTACTATGTGCCACATATTAAATAATGTTCAAGAGGTGCATGTTCATCATGATAAACTACTATTATAATTGGTGGCATGATCAGAAAAGTATTTCTGGAAATATGAGCTTGAATTCCTTATTTATAATTTTATTCATTCATTTTAGGAAAGTCTCATGCTGTACCAGATGGGAGATTATGAAAGATGCAAGCAGTTGGGTGAGAGCATCTGCCTTCGTGCTAACACCTACCACTCACCAAATTACAATTCTATTGCTGGAATGGCAAAGTGCACTATCTCAAGTGCTTACAAGATGGAAAGGAACTTTACTAAGGCGGAGGAACTTTTGGATTCTTCTACTGAGGTTAGTTATTTCTATCTAGAACCATTTATTTTTTCATCTCTTTCATTATTTGTCCCATTAATCTGTATATGTAACAGAGTTTAGCTTTTTCCAGATTCCTTAATTATCTGTATCTACATCTGTACAAGCTTATTTCTACTTATTTCTGTAGGTGTGTATAAAATGTCTAAAATAGGTCAGTTATCACCTTAATAAAAATTTTTTATTCCGCATAAGCTGCTATAAAATTCGTCTGTTTTTATAGGCATTTTATTACCTTCACCTCTTAAATGTTTCTGTGTCTCTACACATCTTATTTTGCATGTAGGCATCACTGGAAACTTACCTGACAATATCCCTGTCTTAGTTCATGGCCCTTTTTGTGATGCTTCTGTTAAAAGAAATATGAAAAAAGATGTTTTGTCTCACACATTCACATGAAAAAGGCATAGTTGACAAAAGTGTTCTGTGAAGATGTCTTTCATTCTGAAGCCACTGTGCTGTATGAGTTTGATAGGCACTCTTTCAGAGCCTTGTTGTTACCATCTGAAGAGAGAAAGAAGATTATCCATGACATGTTGGATGAGGCTTAGAGGACTTTTCTTTTCTCTCCTTCTTTTCAGCTCTTAGAGTCTGTTGTCCCTGGTGAAGAGACTGCAATTAACAGAACCTGTCTTGCTGCTTTGTTGTCTGAGAAGGGCACTGTTGAAGGAATCACTGAGCAAGAAAAAAAGAAACTCAAGAAAGCCTTGAAGGATGCAATGCTACACTACAGACACCAGCTCAACAAAACTCAAAGAAGGAATGCTAATAGTCCCAGAAGGGCTCTGATTAGAATGATTCTATTCTATCTTCACTCCACTCGAGACCAAGCCACAAACTTGCAGATAGCTGTGTCCAACAAAGTGTTAGACAAAGTGAAGGAGTTTGTTCAACAATTCAACAGAGAGTTTCTTGTAAATTGCTCCATGAGGGACAAAGCATTGTTTTGTAATGCCTATGGTGACTTACTGACCAGGAAAGGACAATATGAAGAAGGTTGGTAAAATTAATGGTTATTTGCGTTATTTTTTATTTTTCAATTTTTTTTTTCTCATTTACCCAACATTTACTTTTGAATGGTTAAGTGTTATTTAATGATGAGTTCAAACATTACTGTTGCGTGCTTCTCCACAGCCATCAGTTCAGTGTCTGAGGCTTTGAGAATAGCAGAAGATCTTCAGCTGCAGACAGATATAAAGGGAGCACGTGACCGACTTCAGCAACTCGATCGGCTGCGTATGGAGCGAGGGGAGGGTGGACGGGGGCCTCATGACCAGGACGAGAGAAGAGTGGCGAGATATCAGGGCTTCGAAGAGCCAGGGTTTGAAGTCCTGGAGAGATTTCTTGAGCAACTCACTCAGCGTGTGCAGAGATGTAGACAGTACTAAGAAGTTGCAGAGGACACTGACATTTTAACATCTCCATTCTAGAAACAAACCATCATGAACGATCACCTGCCGTTTGTAGTGGGCTCCTGTCTGTATTGTTACGAAAACTAGTTTTACTGATAGGTGTACTGTGGTTATTTGTGGGTTCAGCTTTTTTTCATAATGAAACATTCCGTTGAATTCCTGACGCCTTAACTGTCATTACAGGGCTCAGCAATGCAGTTCTGCACGGACAAAGCTTAGTAATGTTGTCGCTATTGCTCTCAAGTTTAGGCATGTAAGTCATGTCGCAGATTGTCTCCACTCGTTGACTGCATTGCACTTTCTCCCCTCCTAGGAAAACTTGCCATAATGTATAATACTCTCACGGCTGTAGATAGCGGGTATTACGTAATGACGTATACTGTATACGCCTTCGATCTTAGTATAACTGAGTTATGTAAAGGAGCAAAAAATTTATTGTCAGAGTTAAACTAGGTAAATAGATTTAACCTCACTCACTTTCACTAAGAAATATGAGTATTCCGCTTTATTTAGGTGAATCGTAGCATGTATGGTGTTACCGTGACGTCATAATCTTCATCGTATTACAGTATATGAAACTTGATTAGTAAACGATCAGTTGAGATGGTGAATGCACGTTTTTGGATATTCTCCTGAGAACTAGAGCCGCAAATGTTGGTGTGTAAATTCATTTTATATTGTACATCGCATCAGATAGCGTTTTGTAAGTTAACTTCCAGGGGCCTTTGGCTTCACATGGAACATAGGTGAATAAAGTAAATGAGTGCGACAACGAGCGTTTATTGAGTATATCCAAAGCATTCACATAGGTAAGTTTTAGGTTTCAAATTGACAATGGAAATAAGTACAAGAGTTTGGTTGGATGTTCGTCATTCAAACCGAAGAGTTCACCCTTCTACCAGTATTCGCCTTGCTCTAGGCTCAAAGAAACGAAACCGGCACCCAAAAGCGCTTTTAGGGTCATTACTCGAATATATTTCAATTCTGACCGTATAATCGATTTCTGTATAATCGAAATCTTCATGGTTTTGTTAAAAACCAATATCGCTTGAGTGATTAACTTCCTCAAGTTTACGAAACTTCCATGAGTACGAAACGAGAACATACCATACTTTTAAAGTCGTCACTTGAACATATTTCGAATATTTCATAATCTTCGTGGTGTTGTCGGACACAAACAGCGCTTCAGTCATAAGGATTTATGATATTTATTGCCTATTTACAGTCTAAGTCTGATCTTTTTAAGTGTTAGTTTCTTCGGCGACTTGACTTTTTATTTGAACACAACTCAGGTTTCGGGCGACATGACTTCGGGCGAGATGTCTTCTGGGCGACGTAACCGGTTACCGCTATATCCACCCTACACTGATTACCTATGGCCCTACAAGACTAGCCTTGAGTAAAGTCAAGAGCTTTATGCCATAGGCACCTGTGTTCTCTATCACAAGGAAGGTGGGGTTTGTCGGATGTGATGTGACGGTAGCTAGGTCAGCAAGAGAAATTTGTGATCGTGTAGTTTTATCCTCCTGCAGAGGACAGGAGGAAACGAACCGCAGACCTTCGCCGGATTCCGCGCTCTGAAGCTGTATCACTGAGCTGCAAAGACTCTACGGTTAAAAAGGGTGTTACTAAGTTCATGTGTGATGTTAGACCATGATCTTTGTGTGATGATCGACACGTAATCTTGAAAGCCCGATTCATTCCCAGCAGAACCTTGCATGGTGTCAAGAATGCGATCTGTTCCCAACGACTACAAGTCTAGACATCCGCACAAATTCTTCAACCGGAGAAATTGGTTCCCAAAAAAACCCAGTAGTGGAAGAACTGGATCGAATGGTGCGAATGCCATTGCATCGTAACAGGCCTCGGTGAAAAAGTTGAGAAGGTCCTTATAAATACATTAATCTACGCTATGGTTGGAAATACGAACGAAGTTCTGAAAAGCTTTCATCTCTCAGAAAGGTCACCACTTACATGTCACTGAATAAGAATAACGTTTATTGTGTTATGCCTCGATCTTCAAAGCCTCCCGACACATGTAAATGAGGTGGACCAAAGTGGCAGGGTATTCTGTAGTTGCTCCAAATCATGCTTCGAAACACACTTTGTGAGCCGCACTAATCATATTATTAAACGAGCACGATTCAACAAAGAGGGAGAGCTCTGACGAAGACCTAACGCTCGAAACGTCAGCTTTGAAACTCTTTACGATGGCCAATTTACATTATCAAACGAATATAGAATCGATCCTCGCAGTTATGAACACCACTGAACTTAAGTAGTTGAAATAAGGCCTGAAAAAAATGTAAGCCCGTACGGGATTTGAACCCATGACCTATGCGAACCCAGTGCAACGCTCCATCAACTGAGCTAAGAAGCCAATTGGGAACTAGTTACTATGTTGGATCCAAATAAACCTTCGAAGTGGTAAATAATAGCTAAATCAGTAATACTTCAACTACTAGTTCAGCAGTGGCTGCGAGGATCGGTTCTATATTCGTTTCTTCAACCGCAGTGCACATATTTGATTTTCATATATTTACAGCCATTATTACATTATCAACTCTGTTGATAATACCAAATTCTTTGAAGTAGCACCCCTCAATAGCACCATCACAGAAAATACTTTTTTACACCTAAGTCATTCTTTTGTCGTCACGGCATTCCAGAAGTTGTCATATCGGACAATGGGCCACAATTTGCAGCAGCTACATTTTCAAAATTTGCGGAACTATCTACTCGCAGAGTAACGGAGAGGTGGAGAGAGCGGTTCAGACTACCAAAAACTTAGCCAGTAAGAATTCAGAAGATCCATATTTAGCTCTCCTGTCAGTCAGATTTCCGGAATGGGGCGCAGTCCCGGCGGGGGTCCCTCGAGGTGCAACTGGGGCCGTGGCTATTTATTACTATGATCGGCGAGCTAGATGTTCATGTCACCGACCTCTGGAAGTATGACGATACCACTATTTCGGAGACGGTAAGCAAGAATCAAAACAGTCATACCCAGGCCGCTGTTGACATCCTAGCAAACCGTGCGTCTGTGGATAATTATGAGTTCAACTTAACGAGACGAAATGTAAGGAACTACGCATAAACTTAAACACTTACAATATCACTTTGCTCGATCCAGTTGTGGTCGATGGTATACCTATTGGTAGATGCCAGTGCCAAAACACTAGGCCTGAACATTTCTTATGATTTGAAATGGAACTGTCACATTGACTCCATTAACAAAAAAGCCAAGAAGCACCTTTATAGCTTGTCTCAACTTATACGCTTTGGTCTACCTCTATTAGTCCGATCACGGAGTATCCATGTCCTGTCTTCCTTGACGGTCTACCCACGTACCTTTACATCGAGCTTGAAAGCAAGCAATGCGCATCATTTCTTCCTTTTGCTAATATAATGAGGCATTGGCTGAATCAGGCCTAACGAAACTTTCATACCGCCGTCAGGAACTATTTGATAAAGTATTCTATAAGATTATTCCGAGCGAACAGAACAAACTCCATAACCTTCTTTCTGCTCGCAACAGATACTTTGAACCTTAGAAGCAAACGGAAGTTTAGGCCAGTGTTCAAGACAAAAACATTTCGTAACAGTTTAGATGTCCTTAAAGACTAAAATATTTTATTGAAATTTTATATTAATCGACATATTTTATTTACAAACGTAACAGATATACAGACAAATGTTTATACAAAGTTGCTTTAAACCACTGATAGTTCTATTTAATGTTGTTATTGATTTTATTCTTTGTAATAATCGTGTAATTCAATTGTTTAAGTTTCAAAGCGACTATAAATAAACTACTTACCCTACTACTTATCCCAAATCGACACCACTGGAGAACGGACACACCCACTGCATAGCTACTCATGGAAAGGAAAACACGCTCTACCTCCCAATGTCACCAGACAAGCTGATTCCCAAACTGCCAAACTTGAAACTGTTGCAAGAAACAGAACGCAAGTGCAAACTTAAACAAGTTGAGAACTACAACAAACGTCATCAAGCATCACTTCTCCCTGAGGTAAATATGGGCGACAAAGTCCGCAAAGTTCGCATATCACCTCGTACCAAGTCCAAAAAGAAATGTGGGAGGAACTTTGAACTCTCAACTAGAAGGAATTAATCTCGCTCACAAGAACGCACAAACATCAAACTTAGCAAGCCTCCGTCCACAGTCATCAAAACACGTTTAGGAAGAATTATCAAGCCGCCAACTCGATTGGACTTTTGAACGTCTGAACATGAATAGACATAAACGTTTTGCTTCTTTTATTTTCGTTAATCGGACGATAACATTCTATAAGGTCTAAGAACACTTTCTTATAACGTTCCACATAGAATTAGAGCACTATTTTGTTTGTAGAAAAGGGGATGTGTGATGATTGACACATGATCTTTGAGTGATGATTGACAGGTGATCTTGAAAGCCGAATAAATCATTTCAGAACCTTACAGTTCATAGGCTTAAAACCACACTTAGGAAATTATCGATCCTATCTCATGTAGCCGAGGCATCCAGATTATTACCATACCATGTAATCACCAGGCTCCTGCCAGCATCCACTCCGCCCCAAGACAGCTCCCAAGCATTCGGGCCCAGTGCCTCAGCTTGTAAGCGAGGATGCCGTTGTGGTCTGTAATTTGTTATTGCTTGGAGAAAACCGGAGAGACAAGACATGGAATAGTCGAAAAGTTGTATACTCAAACTTCTTTGGCGTTTCTTCAAAATGATCTCAAAATAAAAATTAGACTCGTTGACTTTTTTCCTGATCCTTCGAGATTTCTACTTACTTTGGGCTGAGGCACGTGAACACGGATGTGATTTTGTCGCATGAACAGACTGCTATTTCAAGATGGCTGTGACCATTACCCACTTAAATATAACTGACGACCACACTTCAAGAACTGCTGCTGAATTGATGGCTTGCTTGCAGCTTGATCAAGGTTCACCGGAAGAAAAGCAGAAATGCGACAGGCTATTGAGAGACCTTGATTTTCCAAGTGAACATCAAAATGAAGAGGAGTACAGTCAGTTTGTTTTTAATGGCCAGTGTTTGATACTGGGTGACTCCAGGGTTGGAAAAACGAGCCTTGTGAACGCTCTTATTAAAAAGCCGTTCGACAGTGAAGAGCCAAGCACATTGGGAGTCCGCACAAACTCGGTAGACCAGGAGTGGCAAAATGCGAACCTTGCGTTCGGAAGTTTTGCTCGATTTGGAAAGTCCGTTCGTTCCTTAAGAGCCTTTATTTCATCGGGAGAATACTTAGCTTTTGAAGATGGAACATCAACACTGTCTTTGTGTATGATTTGGTCACTGTATTTATTCTCTTTGGTGCTATTATGGAAGTTTCCGTATCTAATAACTCATTTGATAGTGTTACATATTACATTTTTCTTAGTTCACTTTACGTTTCCATGTCCTCTTCACTTCACTTTGGGCCTCATGGTTGCTCATTTAGTGAACGGTTTTTTCAAAGGGATCCACTGTTGCTGTGTAGAGTTACCGTGTATTGGACGTAAACATTTATATTTGATTCGTGACAAATTTATAGTATATATTATACGCCTTTTCTACCTTAGTCCTCTCACTGGAAAATTTATTGCCTCCTTCCTTGGACCCCTAAGGGAGAAATGGGTCCTTTCGCGTTTACTTAATAGGTATCGAGGTGATATTAAAATTTCCCTTCCGGGGCAAGTAAAAATCTACAATCACAGACGGGTTTTCTTTTGGTCTGGGGGTTTATTTTATGATATAGGATCTTTCATGAACGGCTTTGGGTTAGGTTTCTGTGCTGAATTGATGATCAACATGTCAATTGTCAGTTACTGTGAAATTCTTCATTATACCTTTATGCTGGGGTTTGGTTTATCACTTCTTTGGTTCATACGTTCAATGTGCAAGGGAAGACATTTCATGGAGGGAATTGTAAGCCCAATTATATTTATTTTTGTAATTGAGTGTGCGCTCTACAGATCAAGATCATCTTATTCTACGCTGTCTTATGTAGCACTGTTTGCAGGATGTGCCTGTTGTGCAATAATCTTCAATGAAAAGTATGTATCAAACCTTTTTGCATGTACTTACAAGCTTATCTTTGTACAAAAGGTAGCGCTAGATTACCAAGAGTTAAGAAAGGCTCTCAATGTCAAATTCTCAAGTCTCACATTGGGCATTCTAGACTTTGGAGGTGAAAAAGAAAACTTAGCATACCATCATCTCTTCTACAGAAATCAAGCAATATATGTTATTGTATTCAACCTTGCACATTTTGCTGCCAGCAATTTCCAATATGTAGAAGCGAAAATCCAAAGAATTTGTTTCTGGTTGGAATCCATCTACAGCAAAGTAGGGCCAAAGGCACCAATCTTTCTTGTTGGTACACACAGAGGAAACATGAGTAGAGTCAGCCTTGGTTATTTGAATAAACATCTGCAACAGAGCCTTTGGCAAACCTTTTCTAATGATCTGACAATGAACGAAGAAGATAAGTTGATGTATTTTCCTGTGGAATCCAAGAATGGAATTCATGATAGAGGAATTAAAAATCTTAAAAGGACAATGACCCTCATAGCTGAGGAAAACAAGACAACTTTGGGACAAACAATTCCATTTTCATGGATTAAAATTCAAGATGCAATTATTAATTTGTGGGAGAATGGTAGCGCAAAGTTCTGTGTATCCCTGAAACATTTTCCAACTTCATTTAGAGACTTTATTTGCAGCAACTGGTCTAAGGAAACTTTGAAGTATTTTCATGAAAAAGGCCTTGTAATTTACATAGACAAAGGTGAGAAATCAGTCATCTCTGAGTGGGTTCTTTTGAAGCCATCACTTCTAGTTGACATCACAATTCAACTGATCACTCCAAAAACAGATGATGAATTATTTTCACAACATGGATTCAGGAAAGAGTGGACATTACTACACAACAAGGGAATGCTTACAAATTCCCTTTTGAGGCACATTCTTACTACAATACAAGAGAATGAAGAAGCTATGACTAGCTTTCTTGAGGAATATGGCATTATTTGTCCCTTATTTTACAAGGTTAACAATGACATGACAGAGGCAATAGTAACACATTTTGTTCCTGCACTGCTTCCAGTTTCAGTGAATGGGAATGCATCAGTTTGGAATGATCATCCCACAGACAAGCGGCTCTATGTGTTCTTTGAAAGGTTCCTGCCAGAACCTCTTTTCCATCGTCTCCTATCACGTGCTCACCAACTTAGTCAAGCAAACTTCCCTAAGGGCCAGCCTCTCATAAGCAGACATGTTGGCAGGTTTTGGCTAACATCTACTCAGCCCTATAGGCTGCTGCATCTTAAGGAAGAGAATATAATTGAAGTGACATTTAGCCACAGGTTTGTGCAATTAAAGGATATCAGTCATGAATAGGAATTAAAGCTCAACTGTCTCCAGTGTATGATATATGATATGGTGATAATCCTTTCATAATCAACTTTTTCCTCCCAAGACATATGGCAAACCTGGAACTGTGGTTGGGATTTCCCAAGCCAGGTGATTTGTGTAAAGCCAAATTATGCTGCAGTGACAATGCATATTTTCAAAACAACAATTTTTTTTTTATTTGGGTCAGATTCAGTCTTAAATCTCCTTTGTTGAAAGTAAGTACATGAACAAAAACAAAAAGAAACAAAATTTAGTTATCAACATCTGATGATAAAAATGCAACTACACTCTAGAATAAACGACTCACATGAGATAAGCTATGTTTTCAATGGGTAACATAAATCAATTCACTCAATTATTGCAAAGTACATTCTATGAGAGGTTTTTTGTTTTGGTATTACAATTGTTGCGAGATAAAAACAGAATGACTTTAGTTTTTATGGAAAAACTTCTAATTGAACCATTTATATCAACAGATATGAAGCAGCTAATGAGCATCCTTCAAATGTGTTAAGTCAAGTGTTTGGCATGGTCAAATGGCTCTGTTGGGGGCACTTTCCACATGTCAAGTTTCACTGTGGCCCAGCCTGCCCCTCAGAGAGGTGTCCTGGGTATCAAAGAGACAACATATCACATCCAGGTGTTCAAAAGTCAATCTCTAGGCGACATGTTATTCATGTGTTACCAAAGAAAAACTCTTCATTTTTGTGTGCCAACCAAAATTTTGAAAATGATCTGAAGGAGTGGCAAGTGCAAGGTTGACTAACAGATGTGCAACTTGTACATGTATACAGTGCTTGCTACTTGGAGTGAGGAGTTATGTTAGGAACTTTTCAAGTATCTGTATTCAAACATTTGAATTTGTCACTTTTTTTAAATTGTTTACTGCAATTTTACCACATATTTAATTTCACTTTGCTTTGAAAGTGGCTACAGCTGAATTTATTGGCAGCATGTTCATCAAAATAATAGGTAAACTTATCTTATTTGTTTGCCAACAAGATGAACTTGCATGTTTCATCTACAATAAGAAGGGTTTCACCCTTTCAAAATTTATGAACATAGTCTACATAGAGATTGGAGAATTAGAGAACACTGAAAACTGTTAGATTGTTAGAAGTACTTCAAAGTATATTCGTATGGCTTTTTACATGGAAACAAGACTAGGTGTACATTCAGTTACAGAATCTTCACCAGCCTATATTATTCTTAATTCAAACTTTATCTTCCTTGTTTTTGAGCATGGCAATATGTTTGAAAATTGAACTACAAACAAAACAAGTTTCACCAAAACATAAATATGTCTGTGCAAATGGTAAAGCTGGTAGATACTTTTGTCCTTTTATAATTCAACCTATATCTACTTACAGTATATTAAAATAAATGGGATAAGTTTCTAAAGAAACCATGGTGCTGTGTCAGTAGGGGAGTATAACTAGCCAATGTTGTTATATCAACTGAGTTGGTTTGAGAAATAAATTCTTGCTCTAGAGTTTTGCAGCTTTCTAAACTGCCTAGATGTAGGTAAAAGGTAGACTACCATATACTGCTCAGAATGGTTAATAATAATATTAATAATAATAATGGTAATAATAATACAAGATTTTATATAGTGCCAATTCTGTGAGCTCAATGGGTTGGGGAGATTAAAATTTTTCTAGCGATTGGTTTGGATACATCCTTGTCATTCCTTTCTACATTATGAGGGCGCTTGTGGAATCAGTCACTAAGTCATCTTCCTGTTTCACCAAGGTATATCTTTTTACAATAAGTAAAAGTTACACAGTAGATGGCATTGCTGTAGGTAAAAATATCAGGACCTAAAGCAAACCATTAAGATTACTGACCACTTTATAGACACCTTGATTTTCTGCGCATAGACACACACACAACCCACATTAAGCTAATTAACCCTCATGAACAGCTAAGAATCGAAATTTCAGCTTGGAATCTCCTAGGCCAATTTACATTATCAACCCAGTTGATAAAACAAAATTATTTATGTCTGCTTGACCCATTCTTGTAGATAGGAACACTTACATACAAGAAAATGCATAAGGTACATAAATCCCTAGAATGAGTTTCTGTAATGTTGATCCTCCTCAACTTTAAAACCTTTCTTTTAACTTATGAAATTGAAATAATAAGTACTTTGTCATGAGTCAGGGTAAAAATACCATTGGTGTAAAACAATTATGCCATATTTTCTATATGGCAGCCAAAGTTAGAGTACTGTAGTCTGCACTCTTGCTAGCTGACAAGACAGTGATGATAGCTCTATCTTCAACTAATACCTGGGTGGCAGGGAGGAGGCAGGGGTTTGAATCCCAGCAGCACATAAAATTTTTTAAGTGCTTCTCACCTGCCTCAACCAATAATGATTGACATAGTAACAGTAACAGTATTGATCAATTTAACTATACAATTCAAGAACGAGATCTCCTTGTTCCTGGATGATGAGACACTGGAAAAGCTGGCTACCTATGCTTTCATTTCCTCCACTGATGTTCTAGGAAAAGGTGAGGTTACCTTGTTAGTATTACAGGCAACCGCTTCATACATAACTTCAACATGAGTGAAAGAACTTTTATCTTGTGTGAAGAATGAAATCTTTGGAGGAATGACGTGACTTCATCATGGAATGATATAACAATATGTAGGAACTATGTGACTGACACTTGGGATGGACAGATCAAGACGACTGTAGTGAGCACAGAATGTAAAGCTCAGATATCCTTTCGATTGGTGGCATGAAGGATAGGTGTAATTTTGGCTGGCAAATTCTCAGAATTTTCCTCTTGAAAACTGTGGCCACCATCTTTTATTTTAAATAGATGCATAGCTGCGTGAACTCAGGCTTTCAATATTGCACATCTGGAGTTATCTTAAGGGGACTGCCATATTGCCATTGTTCCTGTCATCACGCAATTTTGCCATTGCCAGTCATGAATAAGTCTACTTGTGTTTATTTTTGTCTGCTGGAGTGTAATGAATGTTCTTATGGTACTAGACAACAATCAAAATAATATATTACCATATAGGAGTAGGTTCCCACAGATGCCAAAGGTTGAAATTAAAGGACTTTTTTTTTTTTTTTAGAAAATTGAAGGACCACTTTTGGAAAGGTTTGCATAAACAACTTTAAAATTATTTAACATTGTTTCTCAGCTTTTCCATGAAAGTACTGTAATTTTCAACTTGAAAACTGCTAAAGAAAAAGCATTGC